ATTGTGATATGCCACCAAAGGTTTATGACTATTTGTCAGACAGCAAAAGCTAACTCATACATCTGATTTCAGAACGGCCCTGGTTTCCCAGTCAGGCAACCCTAGTTTTTAAAATGGAAAGAAGAGGGGCGCCTGAATGGCTCAATCGGTTGAGCATCCGACTCTTGATGTCAGCTCAGGTCATGATCTCAGGGTCCTGGGATGGAGCCCTGCGTTGGGTTCCATGCTCAGCAGGGAGTTGGCTTGGGTTTCTCTCTCCCTCTCCCTCTTCCCCCCTTCCCTGCTTGCGCTCGCGTGCCCTCTCTCTCTCTCTAAAAGAAATAAATCTTTAAAAAATAAAATAAAATGGAGAGAAGAATAAAGCTATTAATTCAGTGATTATTTAGGAAGGACCAACCACGTTGCCAGCCCTGTGCTCAGCACAAGGGATACAAGGCTACACTGGTCTCCCCTTTGCCAAAGACAATCCTAAGGAAACCGTGATGCAGGGTAACTGGTTACGCTGCTCCAGACTTTGGCGGCTGTCCTGGGGAAGTAAATATTTGGAGAAGCTGTGGGGCCAGTCTCAGCAGGAGGCCTGGCATCCAGCTCTGGGCCAGGTGCCAGAAGTGAGTGCCTGTTGAATCTGAGAATGTGGGCGTGGGAGGCCTTGATTAAAAACCCAGGCAGCGTAATGCCAAAGAAGTGCCAGCCTGGGGAAGAAGAAATTAGTCTGGGATAAAAAATGACAAGGCAAGTATACAATAACCATTAAGGGATTGTAAGCATGTGTCACTGATGGAAAACCACAGTTGTTAAGGAGGTCTGATCATCATAGGGGAGGAGGAGAGAAGGGAGTCTTGAGTGTTGGCCAAAGGCTGGTGCCCAATCAGAGTAAGTACAGCTGAGTGGGGGTACTAAAGCGTGGCTGGCAACCTCTACAGGTCCAATAGTCACTCAGCAAACACAAGTATTAGTGGGCCAGTCAACCACTCTGGGACTCAGTTTCCTCATCTTTAAAAGGGGGGATAATAAAACCTACCATACCGAGTTGATATAAGGATTAAATGAGCCGATTTGGGCAAAACGTTTAGAACAGCCTGGAACATCTCTAGTAAACACTCAACAAAGATTAGGTATTAAAAGTCCTTTCAGGGATTTGTTGGGAAGAGTAAACGGGATGTTTGAGAAGCTCTTAGCACAGAGCAGCTCTTAAACAGTGATTCACCTAAATGCAAGGTGTTGGCCCTTGGAGATGTGCACAGTATAAGGGACAGCTTAGACACACGCCTTGTCCTAAAGGGTAAGGAGCTTCAGACCCAGACACAAGTACCTTAAAAGAAAACAGGACAAATGCAGCCCAGGAGGTGCAATTTGTGAGGAAGGGTCTTGGAAAAGGGAGAAGGTCAGGCATGTCCTCTGCGAGAAGCAGACATGGCCCTTGTAAGGACTCTGTAGGAGGTAGGATTTGAACACACAGGGAAGGGAACACGGGGCCTTCCAGAAGAGGGAGCATGACAGAGGAAGGCCTAGGGGTGCAAAAGCACAGGGCATATTTGGGACTAGGCGAGGCATCCATCTGGAGCAAACCCCATCCACATGTAAAGGGGCATGATGGGAACGAAGCTGGCAGGGAGGGTGGGCATCAGATTCCAGGCTGAGAAAGTAGACATTATTGATGGGCAATGGGGAGCCAGTGAAGGTTACTGAGCAGAAAAGAGCCACAGGCAGAACCGTATCTCTGGACATGGACTCCAGTAACAGGTGGACTGGAGATGGGGGAGAAGAGACTCCGGTCAGTCAGGAGGAGGTTGTGTCAGTGCCAGCAAGACAATGAGGACTAGACTCAGAGCACCAGCCAGAGGGGACAGGTGGGGGAGGAGGTCAGCAGGTGGCCCACGAGGACCCAGCCTGCATGATGATGCGGGAAGCAGACCCCTCCCCCCAACCACCAGGTCCATGCAGCTGGAGAGTTCCAAGAGGAAACTCCCCTTGCTAGCTCGGTAGGGAGGTAGCTGCCTCAGATTCCTCAGAGTGCTGACAAAATGCTCAATTCCATCTGTCCAAACACTTCCACACACGAAACCATGGATTAAAGAAAAATCTGCTAGGCCTCACCCCTTCTGCAGGCCATTAGCTGTCCCCTCTCCTGCTCTCTGACCCCGTTCTGGAGAGCATCCCCCCCCCCCCCCGGAGAAGCCCTCTCCCGCCTGCCCTCTGGCTGCCTGAGCTTCTAGAGAGCACAAAGCCTGCCCATGGGGAACCGCCTCCTTCCAAAAGGCCAGAGCAGGGGGTGTGTGGACACGTCGCCCTTTCTGCCTCCCTCCTCTGGCTACCCTGTCCCCGGATCAAAGCCACTACTGTGACCTCCATCGCCAGGTTCAGCGAAGTCATTTCAGAAGGCAGGTGTCAAGTAGGCCCTTCTCCGATGTCTGCATTCTCCTCTGTTCTCTCACTTCTGAGTCATCTTCGTGGCCAGTTGAAAACAAAGACCTCCCTTCAGAAAGTTCTCCACCCGCTTGGCCTTCACTCATTAACAATAACCTAGGAAGGCTGGCACCCAGCCACTCTCTGCATTTCCCCTTACCCGCCCTGCAGGGTCACTGTGAGTCCTCCTTGCCACCACAAAAGCCTCCTGGTGACAAGACAAAGAGGGCCTTTCAGTCCCCAGGAAGCAGCCCTGCTTCTGCCCTGGTCCAGATGCCTTTGAAGGACGCAGAGAGGGCGTGGCCTAAACAAAGCCCCGCCCCCACGCACCTGCAGATGGGGAAGGGCCCACTCGGATAAACCCAGCGCAAACACACAGCTCTCCAAGGGCAGTCGCGGCAACAGGGCATTTAGCACCTCAGTAAGGCGAGGCCCCTCAACTTGAACCCAGCGACTGGCCTCAAATGCTTCTTCCTAAATCCTGTTTCTGAACTGAGCTCAGAATCTCATGTTGTGTTTTGTTTTTTTAGCATGTGGGCAGAAGTGAGAAATACGTAAAGCCAAAAAGAACAGCAGTCGCAGGAAGAGGAAAGAGAGACAAGGATTCTGAGTAACCCACGGGGTTACTCAGAAGGGACAGACTGAAAGTGGGTGGAATCATTAGTAAGCTTATGGATAAACTTTTTCTAGGCTAGCAAAATCCCTCAACAAAATATTAGCATATCAAATCCAACAATATATAAAAAAAAATATAAATGCACAACAAGTGACTAAACTTTATTCCAGGAAGGCATGGCTGGTTCAACACTTAAAAATCAATGTGTATGTCATATTAACAGATCAAAGACGAAAAACCAAACATGCATATCAATTGGTGCCAAAAAAGCACATGACAAAACTCAAAACCCATTCGTGATAAATACTTCCAGCAAATGAGGGTAACAGGGAGCTCCCTTAACCCAATAAAGGGCACATATGCAAAAATCTACAGATAACATCAGATTTAGTGATGAGAGGCTGCACGCTTTCCCCCTAAGACAGGGAACAAGGAAAGGCGGTCTGTCATCTCTCACCACTCCTACTCTGCGTACTTTTGGAAGCTGCACTCAGGTAAGAAAAAGAAATGAACGACATATAGATTGAAAAGGAAGAAATAAAACTTCTTTATTTGTAAACAATAGGATTACCTATGTAGAAAATCCCAAAGAATCTCCATAAAAAGATCCAAGAACTAATACATGAGCTTAGCAATGTCATAGGTTGCAAGATCAATATACAAAAATCAAATGTGTTTGTCTATATTAGCAATGAACAACTGAAATTGAACATTAGAAACACAGAGGACTACTTACAGGAACACCAAAAAAAAAGAAAAAATATTTATTAGGTATAAATCTAACTTTAGAGCCTGCTGAAACTACAGTAATGATAAAAGAAATCAGAGAAGACCTAAATAAATGGAGAGGTATAACATGTTCATGGATCGGGAGATGCAACATTGCTAACATGCCAATTCTCTCACATATACGGATTCAACGAAATCCCAACCAAACCCCAGCAGGCTTTATGGGTACATACTGACGAGCTGATTCTAAAATTTACATGGAAAGCAAGGGGTTACAATGTGGGGAGAGGGACTGACTACAAAGGGACAGCACAAGGGTATTTTGGGGGGTGATGGGGCTGTCCTCTACCATGCTGTGGTGATAGAGACATGACTCTATGCATTTGTCAAAAGACAGAACTTTTCTAAAAGTTCTGATATTAATTGTGGTGATGGCGGCACATATTCTCTGAATATACTAAAAACCACTGAGCTGAACACCTTAAATGGTCTGGTATGTGAATTATATCTCAACAAAGCTATTACCAAAAAAAAAAAAAACAAAAAAACCCCAAAAAAGACATCTGCAGGGAGATGGTGCAATGATGCTGCCAAACCACAGAGTGGGAGGCCTGGGGATGAGAAAAAAATTCAGAGGCCCCAGTCCTCACTACACTTTGTAAAGACCTCACCGAGGCATTTCCACAGTGCTTTTTTCAGAAATCTGACCTTTTCTCTGCCCTGGAATTTTATTGGTAACGACAGAAAAACCTTCCAGAAATGCCCTTGCTGTGGGAACGGCACAGCCCCCAACACTCGCAGCTCACCCACACCAGTGCCCAGGTGTTCTTGAACTTGCCCAGTGATTCACATTCTGACCCAGCGCACACGTCCATGCACATAACACCTAGAACAGCGGGAGATATTGAACATTTTCCCTTGCACAGGAGAGAAATCTGGGACCAAGAAAAGCAGCATGATAGACTCGGGGTTACTCAGCTTACAGGTGGCAAAGGCAAGAGCCAAGCCTATGTTCTTTCTTCATCATCACAACACCTCTCTGTTGGGTCAAGAATATGAGCCTGGCACATATGACATGCTCAATGCTGGATAGCTAAGTGCAAAATAAAAGCTCTGCATATCCTGAATGAGGGTGAGTGAGTTTTCTCCACATTCTGACACTGACCTATGCCAATCTAACTTTCCTATCAAAAGGACCAGCACGGTGGCCAGTCCTGGTGTCTGAGTGATTCCCAGGGCCCAGGAAAGGGACCACATTTCCAGAGCCCTGATGATAAGGGATAACACCCCAAAATATGGACTCATTTTCCACTCCACCTTCATTGGCCGAGCAGCTGCTAAGAACAAAGGCTGCATCTCCCAATACCTGGCAAACAAATGCAGTATTGCCTCACGAATTGATTGCTTCTCTGAGGTGCCCCTAAGTGTATTTGGGGAGAAGCTTCGAGAGCAAGTTGAGGAGCGGCTGTCCTTCTATGAGACCGGAGAGATTCCACGAAAGAATCTGGATGTCATGAAGGAGGCAATGGTTCAGGCAGAGGAAGCGGCGGCTGAGATGGCTAGGAAGCTGGAGAAGCAGGAGAAGAAACGCTTGAAGAAGGAGAAGAAACGGCTGGCCGCCCTGGCCTTCGCATCTTCAGAAAACAGCAGCAGTACCCCAGAGGAGTGTGAAGAGACAAGTGAAAGACCCAAAAAGAAGAAAAAGCAAAAGGCCCAGGAGACTCCACAGGAGAATGGAATGGAAGACCCATCTGTCCCTGTCTCCAAACCCAAGAAAAAGAAATCTTTTTCCAAGGAGGAGCTGGTTAGTAGTGATCTTGAAGAGACAGCTGCCCGTGTAAGTCTTCCCAAGAGGAAGAAATCTGCCCCCAAAGAGGAACCAATTACTGATGCTGAAGAGGCAGCAAACAGGAGCATCCCCAAGAAAAAGAGGAAATTCTCTTCCAAGGAGGAGCCACTCAGCAGTGGACCTGAAGAGGCTGCTGGTGGCAAGAGCAGCAGCTCCAAGAAAAAGAAAAATCTCCAGAAGCTATCCCAGGAAGATTAGAATGGACGTTTACCTGGTGGGGGGCGTAACCCACATGACCTTTCCCAGCCCATCACTTATATCCCAATAAAAACAACCTCACAAGAAAAAAAAAAAAAAAGGACCAGCACGGACTCCAAGAAATAAGAAGGGGGCACGCAGAGGGGAAAAGAGGAAGAAGACCTTGTAGGAAATAGGACTATTATGAATATTAAGAACAGATGCCATTGGGGGCACCTGGGGGGCTCAGTCGGTTAAGCGTCTGCCTTCGGCTCAGGTCATGATCCTGGAGTCCCGGGATCGAGTCCCGCATCGGGCTCCCTGCTCAGCAGGGAGTCTGCTTCTCCCTCTCCCACTCCCCCTGCTTGTGTTCCCTCTCTCGCTGTCTCTCTCTCTCTCTCTCTCAAATAAATAAAATCTTAAAAAAAAACAACCCACAACAGATGCCATCGATTTTTGGAGAAAGGATTAAAGATCTCACTAGGCACTGAGAGAAGGTAATAGAATAATTAACATTTCCTCAGAGCTCAAATACTTCAAATAGGATCTACACAGTGGCCAGGTGATATCATAATCCCCATTTCACAGAAGAAGAAACTGAGGCACAAAGAGATTAGGTGACTAAACCAGGATCTCACTCCAGCAGTGGGGATTTAACTCGCTGTGTGACCCGGGAAAGCTACATACCCTCCCAGAGCCTCAGTTTTCCCATCTGGAAAGTGGGAATGACAAACGGTACCCCATTTAGAGGGTTATCTCATCTGAGGTAATATTAGAAAAGCACTGAGCACAGTGCTGGGCACAAATTACATGATCTACATGTATTAAGTGCAAAATAAGACCCTCACCGGGTCCATGGAACATTCTATTATTGTGAACAAGCTGTAGGCCATGTATTATAACATTCTTGGGTTATCACCGCCTCTTCCTTCACTGAATTTTCTGGAAAGAGTCTCTTTCTGTGTGTGAATGAGAAACTATAGAAACCACCACTTCATCAGCTTCCCTTTTCTTCCCAGTGGGGAGAAATGCTTGACCTCTATTTTTCTTCACCTTTCTCCTTGGGCCCAAGGAACACAGATGGATATTGACTTAAAGCAGACATCTGTTCAGGGGCAGACGGTCTGTGCAATTTGAATATTTATTGTCTCAGTAATTTGTACTTTACCTCTTCCTAAAGGAAGAAGGCAACACAAGGGGGCTTAGTAAGAAATGTCAAATAGGAAGGGGAAGAGCAGAGATTTGCACCAAATAGGAACTATGAATGCAGTGCTGAAGTGTCATTACGAAGAACAACAGGCAGGTACAAACTTGCAAAGTGAATGCAAAGTTAAGAATAAAAATTGAACCGAAAAAGCTTAGGTTGGTCATTAGGATTGAGGGGGTGGAGAGAGTTTCCTGGAAACAGACTCTGAAACATGTCCCCTGCCCGAATTGGCAATTGTGGGGCAGACACTGAGTGAGGAAAGAAGCAAATACGAAATTATGTATTATAGAACCCCATGCTGTGACTTCTAATATATACGGTTAAATTAAAATAGCAAGGTGAAAAGTATCAAAAAAAGCAAGGTGCCCACCTTATAATGGAGGGATCAGGCTGATAACACCTAAGCCCACTGATCAATCTTAACACCATGAAAACAGAGATCATGTATCTCCTGATAGAAATACACATCACCACCCATGATGTGGTCTTGCAACAAACAAATCTGAATCTGATGAACCTCTAAATCTAATTGCCAATTTGCAAGAAATACAGAGGACTGGAGAACTTGTTGACACCAAAAGGATGAACTCAGACACATTTACTCAGTGGGAATGAACCACAGGAATGAATGAGTAGGTTTATTCAAGAAATAAATTATAAGGAAAAAGAAGGAGGGGGAGGAATGCACCGATTAAAAGAAACTTGAGAGCGGCACCTGGGTGGCTCAGTCAGTTAAGCATCTGACTCTTGATTTTGGCTCAGGTCATGATCTCAGGGTCTTGAAATCAAGTCCTGTGTTGGGCTCCATGCTGGGCATGGGGCCTGCTTAAGATTGTCTCTCTCCCTCTGCCTCCCCCACTCCCGCATGCATGCTAGCTCTCTCTCTCAAAAAAAATTGATTTAAAAATAAATAAAAGAAATGAGAGACATATAAATGAAATACAATGTGTGGTTTTTGTTTGGATCTTGATTTTAACAAACCAGTTGTTTAAACACACACACACAACTGAAGAACCCTGAACAGACTGGATATTTGATGATATTAAAGAATTACTGTTAGTTTTTTAAGTTGTGACAATAGTAATATAATGTAAGTGTTTGTTATTAAAAAAGAATGCATACTGAAATATGCAGTCTAGGATTTGCTCCAAAATAGTCCGTGGGGTAGATCAGAGACATAGATGAAACAAGAGTGGCCATGTATTGATAATTGTTCTAGCTGCGTGATGGGTAGGTATGGGGTCATTATACTATTCTCAGCCTGCTTATGCTGAAAATTTCCCATTCATTCATTTGTTCCCATGACATTTCACTATCTCTATGGACCATATACATGCTGTAAATTAGAAATCATTCTGAAATCAACAAAATAACATACCTATGCTCTGAGCGAATAATCCTCTCTCTCGGAATTTATCTTAAGAAAATGAATGCTAACCAGAAGAAAGCTCTAGTACCCATTGTAAAACAGAGATTGACAATTTGTGTGTGTGTGTGTGTGTGTGTGTGAGAGAGAGAGAGAGAGAGAGAGAGAGCACAAGTGGGGAGGGACAGAGGGAGAAGGACAGAATCTTAAGCAGACTCCAGGCTTAACATGGAGCCCGTCGTGGGGCTCAATCTCATGATGCTGAGATTGTGACCTGAGCCAAAATCAAAAGTTGGATGCTCAACAGACTGAGCCACACAGGTACCCTGAGAGATTAACAAATTAATCTTTGTTTGAGGGCCATACAATCTCTGTTACTACTCGTCTCTGCCATCATAGTGCAAAAGCAGCCATATGCAATATACATAAGTGAACGAGTTTGGCTGTGTTCCAATAAAACTTTATTTACAAAAACAGGTGGCAGGCAGATTTGGACGGGGGGCTATAGTTTGCCAACCTCTGCAAATGTTCAATGTAATATCATTTATAGCGGCTAAAAGCTCAAAAACAACCCACATGTTCAAAAGTGAATGGTTAAGTAAATTAAAGAACATCCGTTTAGATGATTGTACATATTATGCACAATTATGAAGACTTTAGAGCAACAGAGACATGTTACTAAATATTGAATTTTGTAATTAAAAAAAAGAGAGGAAGCAGAATCCATGATTATAATCAGTAGGATTACAGCTCCGCAAACTTCATGTACATATTCAGCCAAGGACCAAAATAGATCATCTGTGGAATTTGTGGAATGGTGGGGCCATGGGTGAATTTTGTTTTTAATTTCTGTGGCTAGCAGCAATTCCATATTCTACCACGACCAAAAAGCCCATTTTGTGGACTGACCGAGAAGCTTTCAAACCCTCTACCTTCTCTCTCAATGCTGGGCCTTTGCAAAGGCTGTTCCCTCCTCCAGGACACTCCCACCTTTTCCCTTCCCATACTCAGAGGAGGTTCCTTCCCCGGGAAAGTCGGACTATGGACTAGAGAGGACCCGTTATCTGTGCTCCCAGTGGCCTATACTTCATGCTTCGTGATGCTCACCACCCTTACGCTAACCACCCTTCACTGACTCAAAGATGCTCAGTCTTGCTCATTTTTACTTCCCTCGAGTCGGGGCTGTAACTTACAAATACTGTCGGCCAGACCAGTATCTAGTTATCTCTGCCTGCCATCTGCCAATGTGCCGGCTTCACAATATTTGGAAGGGTGTCAGCGGCATGGAATAACATTCCAGAGACAGGAGTGGCGCACTCTTTGAAGCCCCGAGAACCAGAGGTTTGTGGGGCTGAGATGGCGGGATGGGGAGTCAGGGAGGTTTAGCATCACTGCCAGAGCGGGAGTCAAAAACCAGCCTATGAGCCCAGCACCGATGGCTTTTAGTTCTTTTATGGACTCTTCTAAGGAATGCTCCATTGCTCACACCTCTCGATGGCACAAAGAAAAACGGGGTGTGTAAAAACACTTAAAAAGGGGGCGCCTGGGTGGCTCAGATGCTCAAGTGTCTGCCTTTGGCTCAGGTCATGATCCCGGGGTCCTGGGATCGAGTCCCGCATCGGGCTCCCTGCTCAGCGGGGAGCCTGCTTCTCCCTCTGCCTGTGCCTCTCTCTCTCTCTCTGACTCTCATGAATAAAACATTAAAAAAATACTTTAAAGAAAAGGAATTTAGAAGAGGAAGTCTCTGACGGTAAAGAGGTTGTAGGAATATCTTAAGCAATTCATTTTCCTTCATCAAATTTTTCTTTTTATATATTCACAAGCATAGAAAATTTCAATTTAATCAAGTCTAAAAGAACTTTTCTAGGGGTGCCTGGGTGGTTCAGTTGGTTAAAGTGTCTGACTCTTGATTTCGGCTCGGGTCATGATCTCAGGGTCCCCCCTCTCCCAAGTCGCACTCCGCGCTGGGCGTGGAGCCTGCTTAGGATTCTCCCTCTCCCTCTCCTTCTGCCCCTCCCCTCCCCTCCCCTCTCTCTTCCTCTCACCTAAATAAGTAAATAATAAAAATGAAAGAACACTTCCATTGAGCATAAAATAAAAATTCTAAATAAGAGATTTGTCATAGAATTACCATTTTCTTTCTCTCTCAGCAGTGCCTAAAACAGCGGTGCCTCAAAAGTAATGAAACATGACACCTGTTCAGGGTCTGGATTTTCTGCCCCCAGGGGAGAGGTGGATGTGCCTTGTTCATCCCTGGAGCCTCAGCCTCGGTCCCAGCTGGGAGCGAATAGGCACTAATTATCTGATGAAGTCCCTTGAAATAGCACCCTGCCAGGCAAAAGGCCACACCCCAGGGTTAGCATCTGAGCCAGAAATAGAAATCCAAAAGCGAGCTTGCCACATCTGGCCTTTGATTCTTTTAGGCTTTAATCCAATACAGTAATGCCACTATTCAGTGTTTCCTGGCGTTGTGTTAAATTCGGAGTCCTGTCCTGACAGCTTGACAGACAGACACTTCCCTCATCCCTTGG